ATTAAAACAGCATAATCGCATATTAGGATTCTTGTTTGTTTTTTCAGTATATTTTTCTTCATATTAGTAAATATACATAATATCCAACATGGATAACACGATTCGTAGTTTCATGCTATTAATGGAATCTTCAGGTGTGTAGATTGCATTAGCTACATGAAACTCCGAGTCATGTTATCGACGTTGGACATTATGTATATTCACTAATATACACTTACAGCTCTGTTTCATAACATTGAACACTGTATTTATAACACCTGAGGAATATATATGCTTATGTACGTGCAAGTATTTGTGCTTGTATGTACATGCTTTATCCGATGATACTCTTCAGTAAGGAAATAATTCCGACAGAAATTTTTTTAATTGTTTATCTTTTTTAACAGTATTTGTCTTAAAGAAATATTTACTCTTCGGTATTTTATGAGTACAATACAGTTGGAAATTTACTTTCTGCGACTAAAATATAATTTGGGAGCTAAAAATAAATTTTGATGATTTAACAAGTTTCTTATAAAAGTAAATTTATTTACGAATTGCGTATTCACCTATAAATAGGATTTAAAATTTACAATATTTTAAATATCGAAGACCTAAATATTACCATGATGTGAATGAACTAGTACGTGTGTACACACATGCACACAAAGACACACACACACAATATATATATATATATATATATATATATATATATATATATATATATACGGAACATCTTTAAAAGTTACTCTCTATCATACCATCTTATAGAATATCATTTAACGGAAATATATTTAACGTTCAGATATTGATTTCGTAATATTATTTAATAATATGAGAATTTATTCTGTATATATATATATATATATATATATATATATATATATATATATATATATACAAACACACACACATATATATATATACACACATATATATTCACATATATATATGTACAGATATATATATATGCCCAAACATATATATGTACATATATATATGTACTTATATATATATATATATATATATATATATATTTCCTATTTTTTCTTTATCCTATCATTCCATCGGTTCATAATCAATTTTGATCCTAATTCATATATATATATATATATATATATATATATATATATATATATATATATATAACAGTTAACTTAGACCCTGAAACAGTTGTATTAAAAAGTGTTCAGTGCACATATAAAGAAAATAAATATTTAACTTGCAGAGCTTTGAAATTTAAAAATTATCCATATAAATTTTTGGCTATATCGCCTGATCATACCGAAAGTTTTTAACCAACGTAGCGTGATTGGGTAATCTCCTAATTTTCGAAATATATATAATAAAAAAAAACATATTTCGCATCGCATTATATTTTTTCGTCTCGGATGCTACCTGAATTTTACCAAGAATAAAACAATTTCCATGCCTGAAGATGACTGAATGTACAGTCGAAAGTACTTGCGTATTTAAGAAAGACCTTATACAGCTTATAAATTTAAAAAACAAGCACTATAACATTCATCGTGTGATTGATAGGTTAATGTAACTTTAAAATTTTGTTAGCCTAGGGATTTCGCCATTTTATATCATTAACTTTACTAATCTGCTTTCTGTATGAATGATTCATTGTAATATATATATATATATATATATATATATATATATATATATATATATATATATATATATATATAATGAACATAGAAGTCAACACTTAGAGGCGACAGTCTGTTTCATGCTATATGCAATCGTCAGGCCACCTATAGCATGAAACAGACAGTCGCCTCTAACTTTTGACTTCTATGTTCACTTTTATATTTGCACACGCTCTATCGCTGATATTGAGCACTTTATCCCATAAATATAGCACATCTTAAGACTATATATATATATATATATATATATATATATATATATATATATAGGATTAATACAAATAGATCTAATTTGTCAATTAGTTGATTGATGTTGTATTCAGATTCATCCGCACCTGTATTTGGTAATTGTTCAATCCACTCTTCAGGTGGCTTTGTCAATTAACTGGAGTTTTCCTCATTTTGCGTTTTCTTTATAGTAAGTTTGATGTTGTAATAATTTTTTGCACTAGTTATTATTGGTGTTACGTTGATGTTTTCTCTTTGTGTGTGTTCGCGCGTACATAATGCAATTCATGACCTTTTGGTACAATATTTATCCTAATAATAAGGCACACTTAACTTAAAAGTGGTTTCTCTGTTTGAAAAAAAAAATGGAGCATACGGTTCGATTCCTGTCGGGAGAGACTTTTTTCCTTTTGTAATATTATTGATCCCGGGTTTCATACCTAGTGATGTTTATTGAAACATCTACGACTAAACCCAAATCTTAATTTAGCATAGGACTACAAAAATTTAGAGAAACAACCTCACTGAAGTCACGAATGACTTAAATCAGAAAATAACATTGAAGAATAAATAAACCAGTTGAAACTTTAAATACATACAATAACATAAGTGAAATACATACAATAACATAAGTGAAATACGTACAATAACATAAGTGGCAAATAATAGATGATGTATAAAAAAAAAATAAATTAATTAAAGTAGGTAGCGCCCCAGGCTTCCTGAAAAAATCCCGAAAAATGCATTTTAAACAATTTAAATTATTTTTTTCTAATAAATTATGTTCTTTTTCTCCCTTTTTTTAAAATTAAATTTTGTTTTTATTTGAAAGATAATGAGCATAAAGCTAATCCGTATTAAAATAAAAATGAATTTCCGGATGTACATAATTTTTTTAAACATTTAAAAAAAAAAATATCACGATCACTTGTCACTCTTCGATTCATTTTCCCCGCCGAAAAATGTAAACAAGAAATTGAAAAATCTTTTAAAAATCCAGTATTTATCTTATAGATGTGTTTCAAAGTCAGAAAATTCAAGGATTAATTAAATGAATTTTTCTAATTTAATGCTTAATTTTTGCTTAAAACATATAGTCAAAATAACTTTTATTTACGCACAGTGACCTGTGATGTCATAGGTCACAACTCTAATTTTCTAATGTAATCTCACTCTTAAAATACGCGCGAAATAATTAAAAATAAAGAAGTACATAACACCAGTGGTACACTAATCAAGAAATTGTAGTTATGTTTTAAAATAAATTATCTTTAACGTTATATAAAATCAATAATGCAAAATATAATTTTTTGGCGAACTTGAACCTTTGTGTCCACAAAAAAAACAAAACAGAATGTCAAAAAGACGATTTTTCCATTGATCCAGCCATTATTTTAACTACCTTCACTCATCGCCAATGTTTATTGTTTTAAAAAGCGATGATTAGAATTGGAATAAAACCTAAACATATGATGAAGATGAATATATACATTTTCCTTGTTCCTGAGAATTGACAACAAAATCAATAAACATTATTTATTTATTAGATTGTTTATTGGAATGTGGTGACAAAATATCGACTCATTGCCAATCGATTCGAACTTTATGAAATGGTAAATAATAAGAAATTCCTTTTTTTAGTTGGTTCACATATTTTAACAATTTAGCAAATGTTGATAAATTTGTGAATAAAAAATTGTTTTCATATTTACGTCTTTATAAATTGGTAAATGATAAATTATTGCATTGCATTTAGTTTTAAATATATTAGGTTTAGAATGTTGTAAATATAAAATTATTCTTGTAATAAACAATCTTATTAATAAATTGTTTATTATTTTTGGTTTAAATTCTCAAGAACACAGAAAATTTATAATTTCACTTTCATCCTATGTTTAGGATTTATTACCTTTCTAATCATCGCTTTAAAAAAAATTGCCGTGGCAGTTTAAATAATAATGGTGTCAATGGAAAAAAAAAACGTCCTTTTGACACGCTGTTTTTTTTTGCGGACATGAATGTTCAAGTTTACCCATATTATATTCTATATGATTTTATGAAACTTAGAATAATAACTAATTTGATTTCTACATTATAAGTAGCTTTATTTTTTTAATTAAACAATACTTTTGAGGTTAATACATTTTTTCATTATTTTATTATTTTCTTTTGTGTTTAGCATCATAAAATATTTAATTACACCATATGTAATATTTTTTAATTGTTCTGAAATTAAGATTGATTGAGGTGCAAAAATAATGACGTAATAATGTCATTTTTGATGTATTTTTTAACGTCAAAAAACGACATTATTACGTCATTATTTTTTGCACCAACCTAATATTATATTACTCTTTCGATACGGAAGAATATTCAATTAAAGGCGATAATTCAGACATATTTCCTTTTCAAACGCCCATTCGAAAATATTCTAACATTTCCTACAATGAAAAAGATAAAATAAAATAAAATTCTTTTAGAAAAATTCCCACTCGAAAATGGCTTTAAATTTTACATTCTTCGATTCTTGAAACATGGCATATTTAAAAAAAATCTTGTTCCGAAGAGCAAGCCGATGAGTTTAAAAAATTACACTAAAAAAGGTAATGTTTTTAAAAATAGATATAAGTATATTTTTTTTGCTCAATCTGAAAGAAAATGCATTTTATTAAATCATGCAAACGCCAATTCTCAAACAGATTTATGTTTTGAGTTTTATTGAATTATTTTCGGTAAGTTTCGGCTCGAATTTTCAGTATATTCACACTTGATGCTGCATAAGGTTTTACTGAAATAACGTCTTCACGGATTTTTCTTTTGTAAAAGAAAATTTGTAAACATTCTCAATTTAAAAAGTACAGGCTATCGAATAGCGGGGTTATGAAACAGATCCACCAAATATTCCCACAAAGTTTTTTTTTTTTAAAATAACCGATTCAGTTTACAGTTCATTTATTAATTCATAAGTTCAGTACTGAAAATTCTTGAATCGGATAATTTGGCAGTTTTTTTGTTTTTTTTTAAAACAGAGTAACGACGTTTTACTTTTATTTCGAAAAAAAAAAACAAACCCATCCATTTTACCTAGTAAAAAATTTCAGTGACAATTATTAATACTGGCGAGTGTTT